TATAATATAAATGATATGAATATAAATATATACATGTAAATACATTTACATACATTTTTTGATTCATTTTATATTAATTTTTATTTAGAATAAAATAAATCCCCCCTCCCCCCCATAGCATTTGCATATATAAGTACTGTGATGCTGTTATGTTGAAATTAAATTAAATAAATATGATTTTGTAAAGTCAAAATGCTTTGCGAATATTCTCAAAACAGACGTTTTACAAAAAGAACTTGTACCATAAAGAGATGGGAGTTGTAATGATTTTATATACCTTAAAGTATTTTGGGAATAGTCAAAATTCCAAGAATACAATATTTTGATCATTATACAGTACTTTTATGGAGCCCCACACATGACATGCAGGCGATAAAGTGGCCACAAATTAAGACTCCATTCCCATGACATGGCCACAGTTTAACTTAATTTATATAAGCGAACAAATCTAGCATGGCTGTGTTTAAAAAAAAAAAAAATGTGTCCACGAATGAATAAGTGATGCAAACAAATTCCTAATTAAAAAAAACACTGTCTACTTTAATGTGTGGAAAACAGCAGCTTGAATGTTCTTCAAAACATCTCCTTTTGTGTTCTACACAGAAAGAAAGCCATACGGGTTTGGAACGACATGAGGGTAAGTAAATGATGACTGAACTTCCCACCCTTTAGAACTGGGTACAAACAAGGCCATTGATTACTCATCCACATTGAAGTTGTTTTCCATTTCTCCAGCAGCCCCTTCCTTCCATTTTCTCTCCCTACTTGTTAACATTTGGCAAAATAAGTAGATCCACATTTAGTTAATGATCACCCGCCATGCAAATTGGCTGTTTTGATATTCAGATGATGACTTTTCGGCTGTTTATTTACCTTCCCATATGTCCCTCGGGTGCTGTATGCTAATTTTATTCATTTCTCTGTCCTGAAAATTAGAGCAGGAAGGAAACAGTGAGCAAACAAAAAGCAAAGAGAAGATACTGTTCAAAGAGAAGGGCCGATACGAACCGAGCGCACACTCGCGCAGAAGCAGAGCATAATTGTATAGCTGGATGTGAACTCGTTGTCTAAAGAGATAGGGAGGTTGTCACATCAATTGGACACGGCAGAGTTCAGTGCATACAGATCCTGTTATTACACTCGTGGTGGGCCATGAGGAACGCTACCGAAAGTCATGTGGGACCGAGACCTGATGCTCACTGGCCCACATGAGTGATCCTCTGATGTTAACGTCTGCATTTGGCTGAGGAAATGATTCAGGGCATGACGAAACTCACGAGTTTGACGTTCCTCTGCTAATACATGCAGCTCTGGGGTGTTGGTTTATTTCTGTAAGTGGGTGAATTTCTCTACTGTTACACCAGGTTTGTTTACTCCAGGAGATGTTTACTGTTGTGCAGAATCTGATGAATGAACTAATGAACGACACAAATACCTGTCTTGTCAGGAAACATGGAAAAACAAGGGTGTAGTTTTTATGCCCCTAGTGGCACAGAACGGTATTGCAAAGGTAATGATTGTTCACGAACAGGTTTCCTTTCATCTGAAATTGTTTGGAAAAAGAGGGAGCCCCAGCTTGTCGGTCGAGCCAGATGTTGACATGCTGGGTCGTACAAATAAACAAAGTTTAAAAGCACCACAGTGTTTACACTCCAATAAACATAACAAAAATAAAACGTGTATCTAAATTATGTTGTGGAGTTTGCGTGTTTGTATTACAACCAACAAGTTGTACACAACACCGTTTTCAACTTAAAACTTTTTATGCAGTTTGGCCGTTCATTTACAAAACAATGGAATTTTGGGGGCCTGAAAATGCAAACGTTTGAAAACAGATTTTGAAGTGCAAGTTTTTGAAAACAATACTGTTATGTTCTTTGTGTAAATGACAAAACTGCAAATTTGTGAAAAAGGTGACGTTTGTGTGTATTACGTGTTCAGTCTATATGTGCGCATAGTGTTTCTTTACAAAGTAACATCGCCATCTACTGGTCTGGAATGCATAATACAGGGATTTTAGTCGTTTAGATCTGTGTGAACGGGGATTGTTTTGACGATAGTGTCATCTGTACATGCAAAAAAAGCACACAAAAAAAAAACACACACACACACACACACACAAAATGAAAAACTTTTCCATTTTCACTACAATAGTTGCAGTGTAAACATTCCTTTAGTTTGAAGATAAAGTTTTAGATAGCCAAAATGAAATGTTTTGGAAAGACTGAATATACCTACTCGTGTGATTTTACTTTAAGTAGCCTGAAAATGTCAACATACAGTAACATTTTTACTATGAAAACAAAAGCTGGCCAAACGGCAACATCTGTGGAATATTTTTTAATCATTCTGTATGATGAATAACAGAATAATGAAATTAAACATTTAAAAATTAAAGGGAAAAGTAGAACATATGTATCATATATGTATCATATGTGTCAGGGCCAAAAATGAACACTTTCCAAATGTCAAATGTGAGTAATAATTGGTGCTGATGAGCGTGTTTCCCCATTTTATTTATTTATTTATTTAATTTAATTTATTTATTTTTAAATTAAATAATGCACATACAGTTTCATGGCCGGTCAAAAAAAAAATATGACTGTTAAATTTTCTTATGTCACCTGGTGTGGTAAAATTTTAGGCCCTGCTTATAGTTGAGATAACAATTTTAATTTTAAGTAGTTACATGCTACATGCAATTACTATAGTAATAAGTAAATTATGTATACGTAACTAACACTAAACCAAACCCTAATCTTAAGTACATGTAGTTAATGAATAATTCTCAGTCCTTATTTGTGTAATTACACTTCAAGAATCACCTTAAAGGTGACATATCATGAAAATTGGACTTTTTCCGTGTTTACGTGCTATAATTGGGTCCCCAGTGCATCTACCAACCCAGAAATCATGAAAAGAACAAACCAGCATTTTTAAAGAAAATTTTTGGTAAGCCTTTCTCTGCAAGCTTGTGAATAAAAAATTTGAGCATCAGATTTCGCTGCCCCCGTGATGTAGAAAGGGGATCTTATTATAATATTACCGCCCCTTAATCTTCCACCAACGGTGCTGCCATTTTGTTTTCGCAAGCGTCAACGGCGTACCAGCTCTAATGCTATGGCGAAAGTTCGAGCAAAGCATGTTATCTGTTCTGTCTTTGGCTGCACTGATGAGCACAGAACACTATTAGAGTCCCAGCCTCAGAGGAGACAAGAGAGCAGCAGATTTATTGATTTATTTACTGTATATTTCGCAGCTGCCACACAGATCTAATATAAACATGCAATTTATTTCCCAGCTGTTTACCTACACAGACATAACTGACTGTTTTTGTAACTTCTTTGTGTTTTTAACATTAACTTGTGTGCATTTGACAGTTTAAGAGTAATAAGACGTGAAAGAGAACTTAGTTTAGTACCCACATGCCGTGTGACAGCCGCTTTCTGGGCATTTGCTTCGGATGTGTGCGCTCAGAAAACCCTTTATCAGAAGTTTTAATTGATATGGCTTTAAAACGCATGATTTCAGCATGATAGACATGGTAATCGTAACCAAAACCGAACAGATGTTTTTTTAGCAGAGTATCTGAGGTACAAGCTGTAAAGGCACAGCCCTATTCTGGAAAAGGGGGCAGGGAGCAGCAGCTCATTTGCATTTAAAGAGACATGCACAAAAAGAGCAGCAGCTCATTTGCATTTAAAGGGGTCATATGATGCTTTTTGAAAGATCATTATTTTGTTTAATATAAAAAGTTGCACAAAAGTGAAATGTAAATTCATGTCTGTACAGTAGAGGGCGCAGCTCAAACAAATTGCATGAAGAATATAACGCAAGAGAAGAAAGTTCAACACTATTCAGCAATAACACAAATGAAACACAAATGTGTCATTTTTGCTTATTAGTATGGTTGAATTAGATAATCGAAGGTCAGTAGCAAAGACATTGGTTAAAGGAACACTCCACTATTATTTGAAAATAGGCTCATTTTCCAACTCCCCTAAAGTTAAACAGTTGAGTTTTACCGTTTTCGAATCCATTCAGCCGCTCTCCGGGTATGGCTAGGAACTATACTCTCATTCCGGCATAATAATCAAGTAACCATGGGTGCAGCAGGTGCAATGATATTACGCAGCGCCTGAAAATAGGCTAACTTCCGTCAACATAACCAACGTGACCACCTGCTTGCACTATTTTCAGGCGCTGCATAATATCATTGCGCCTGCTGCACACATGGTACGGCAGCAAAGTTCCTTGATTATTACGCCGGAATGAGAGTATAGTTCCTTCTTAGTACACGATGTAACTACAGAAGAGTCAAGTTTTAAATAGGAAAAATATAGAAACTCTTTGGTCATTTTTGAGCGAGATGCTAACGGTCTAATCAGATTCAATGATCTATGCTAAGCTAAGCTAAAAGTGCTACCGCCAGACCCGGAGATCGGTGAATGGATTCGAAAACGGTAAAACTCAACTGTTTAACTCTAGGGGAGTTGGAAAATGAGCCTATTTTCAAAAATAGTGGAGTGTTCCTTTAAAGAGACATGCACAAAAACAGTGTGTCTGCTTCCACTCAAAATAGGCACTTTCAAAATGATATAATACATGATCTGTGGGGTATTTTGAGCTGAAACTTCACAGACACATTCTGGGGACACCCGAGACTTATATTACATATTGTAAAAAGGGGCATAATAGGTATCCTATAAAATAAAGTGTACAAACAGGAAACTGTTTTGCGTTTTGGCTCATTTGTGGCATATTTGTATGAATTTGCATAATTTGATTTGCACAAAAACGTACGAGTTTGAATGCGATTCTGAAAAAAATGACCACCAATTGTAAAATAGTTAATGAATTGCCATGAGAGTTTCTTGTGGCCATTGAGGTGAAGGGGAATGAGATCTCATCATATCTAAAAGTTCTGTTTATTTGAAAAACAATAAACCTAAAGCAAAATCTGAACTTATCAAAAACTCATTCTTTTTGACACTGTTTTGAAGCCGCACACATGGATCAAAAGCAAATAAGCAACTGCGCACTTTGGTAGAGATTCACTAGATACAATAGAGAGAGAGAAAAAAATCTACTTCTCTCTGGGAAAATAAAAGTAAAGGCTGTTTTCATGGAGTAAAGCTGCGGTACCCTTGAAGGAGCAGAATAATTACTTTGGTCAAAACAAAAGACGAGGATGTGAATTTACTGAACTCAAATGAAAGTTCAGCTCGGCTGTAAACATCAACTGTTTTGCGTTTTCCTTTGCTTTTGACTTCTTTTTCTATCTAGGCACTGAAACTCAATTAGCTCATTTTAACAAAAGATTAATTGTCATTGTTGTTGTTATTCATTATTATGTGAAAGGATAGATAACATCTGTGTTCATAAATAAAAGTAGACTTATGCTGTGAAAACATTAAAGAGGCTTTTTGATAGCACTTGCTGTGAAGCTCTTATTTTTGGTTGTTTCTTTAACTATGGGTAGTTTTGGCCCTGTGGACCTTTAGGAAATAAACAGACTTTCACGCTCTCACTAATTTATTTAATTTGTCCACTAATAATGTTGAACACAAAACACACAACGTTCCCCAATGTTAGTATTTGCTTCCAATTTAGTTATTTATTTTCAGGAACCAAATATTAATCTTGCTAAAAATCAGTCTTGCTAAGGCAAATGCTATTTTATACAATATCCATTATATTTCTTGAAGTTGTAACCATGAATATGTAAATATGCCGGCATTATGTGTGATTTTAATTATCTCAGAAAACATAAAACTGACTGTAATGTGTTTATTGATTGATTGCGAGGATAGATCGGGCTCCATGTTTGAGCTAATGACTGTTATTTTTCAAAGTAATCTGTAATGGATCATGTTGAAGGCTCTATTAGACTGTCAAACACTGACCCCAGAGATTTCAGATCCAGAGTTACTCTAAGTCCTGTTCCTAACCATCTGACCTCTGACCTTTAACCTCATACTAAACATCACAGCCAGTTGGTCACAGACACAGAGGGTAT